AAAAAAAAAAAAAAGAAAATACCAATGCCCAATGCCCATCTTGGCAAACAATCAATGATGCTAATTACTAACACTGATAGCCTCCTTACCATTGACCTGGCCCACTGACATATTCAGTGATATCTCTATACTTGTCACTACTTTAACTGTTTTCTTTATTACTCTTCCCTCAATTATTCTAATAATGTTCCTCTTGAAATTTTAGTATGACAAATGCAAAAGGTATCAGAGTGCTCATAAAATTCTACTCCTTTTATATTACTCATTCAAAGTCAGCCAGTTCTCCTAACATGTAAATCTGAAAGAAACATACCTTTTACAACATGCAATTACCCTTCTACTTTGCTAACAAAATGCAATGAATTATCTGATAATCAAGACCTATGAAAACAGACAAAGTTTTGTTATGCTGTGAAAATAATTTTTAAGCTGTACCTGCATGGAGAATACTTGTAGTGGGCACTGGAAACTACCATAAGCTTCCAATATTATCACCTGGTGGATAATAATTCTTATTAAAAAAATACCAAGTGTATTTCCTTTAGGAACAAACAGATCCCATCCTTTTCATATTAATGGCTATGTAGGCAACATGCTGCTAACTCTATCCTGACTGAAACAATTGGAACAAGTAACTACTGCCTGGTTCTTTTATGTTCTCAGCTAGAAGCCTAGTCACTTGGACTTCCGAGAATTGCAGTGGGCAGAAAGGAGAAAAATACAGCTAATATTAAAACTTTTAACATCGGAGAACTAAGTACTTGGGATGCTCTTTATCTTAAAAAAAAAAAAAAATGTACCCACCAATAACCATCCTCCTCCTTGGATCTAACATGTTTCCCAGACATATTCTAGAGGCCAAATGCCTCCTTTGAAACATTCTACAATGTGACTCTCCACCTGCCCATTGACGGTGACACACTGCGCTGCATCTCACCCCATACACAATAGCATGCGGGACTGAGAACAGCAGCTTTATTTGTTCATTTGCCCCACAAAGTTGGTGTTTGCTTTCAGATTCACGTGTACACTCTCAGGTCTGAGCCATCTTTTGATTGATAAATACTATGGATGAAGTTCTACCTATTTGCAAAGTCCTCTGTCTAGCTATTGTAAACTTTATAATAACTAAAAACTAGCTATTATGCCCACCTTTGAGGGCAATTAAAATTAAATTAAGGTTAAAATTCTTAAAGTTTGTAGGTAGTAAAAGCAAAGCGAGGTTTGCTAGCTCCAAAGCGCTTGGTTCTCTGAGACAAACCACATTGCTTACAGAGAAGTGAAATCAAAGTTCTGTGATTAGCCCATGCATATGAATAAACATAATCTTTTCTTAAACTTTTAATTCATATCATTTATTTTCTTCTGAATACTACTTATACATTTCCAAAACCTTCATTACTTCTTGTCACATTTGTTTACCTTTTTCTTGAATAGCAGTACCTATCACTTACATGATCTCTCTTAAGACTTATTTTCTACTTTCTTTATTTCAGGAATATGTATTAAATTGACACTAATTAAAGAGAAGAGAATGTCTCCTTTTATATCACATCATAATATAAAATGCAATATAACCAAAAGGTCATTACTTTCTTGCATGAAACTGAGTATTCTGTCTGTTGTTTTTTACTTATATTTAACATGAATTGACTTTCATAGTTTTTATATGGACTGATTACATTTAACAAATGCTAACTGGGAAC